CCGTTCATCAATTGACATTTCTTTCCTAGGCTGCCACATTGCCTTGCATGCCTCTTTTATGGTGGCTTGAAGTGGTTTTAGGCGATGGAGTGGATCGTACTCTGGGGTGTCCTTTTTCCGGACATTTGCCAAATCATGATCTGGGTCGCTCAGGTGTACAGCTCTGCTGATTGCCATGAACCTGTCTCTTGTCATGACAGAAGCAGGAAAGAGAACACTTAGGTGTGATCCCTTCCTCCAGTAGTCTCTTACTTTTGGCAGTTTTAGAAGTGCCATGAACATCGTAAGGCCGACATACATGAGGAATTTTACCGGCTTTAGCTCTTCCCAAACAAACTTTTTCCCCTTAGCCTGCTCCTTTTCAGCATTTTTGTTTGTGTTTTTGCAGATGATATTTACAGCTTTGTTGTTAAAAAAATGTCTAAATATTTGTGCAGGAGTATACTCCACACCAACAAAACCTTGGACTCCAGGGGCTCTTTTCGGGCAAAAGTGTGGTAGTTGTTGGGCAGTATCTGGCACCTCAGGTCCGTTCATACTTGCCAACCCTCCCGATTTTCGCGGGAGACTCCCGATTTCACTGCCCTCTCCCGGTTTCCTCCCGGGGTCATATTTCTCCCGCATTTCTCCCGATTTCTGACAAAATCAGATTTACTCACGACTGTTTCCACTGAGGACTTTTAATACAGCTACACCATTGTTTGGTTTCCATGGTAGCGCATCTCTTTAGTAGCGCGCGCAACTGAAAGTCTGAGAGGGTGTTTAGCATGGTGAGGAAGATAGTCATAGAGCAAGAATGGACAACTTTACCCTCTGCTCACTCCTTTCCTGGTCCTCATCAAGGATGGTGCTACAGGCAGCAAGGCATTGCACTTACAACTACAATAATGTGTAGATGTTCTTTTCATCTTTAAAAGTCAGTTTCCCCGCTGCGAGGCTCTGGTGCTAACAGCTCCGGCGATCCACTAGCAACCACCCCCCGAATGGGGTGACGTCACGATTCGCCGAACTACATTGTGGGAGCAAAGCGTAGCTTTTCTCGCGGTGCTCGCTGCAAAAGTAGAGCAATGTTCTACTTTTGAAGCTGAGGCGGAGGCGTCAGCCAATCAAATCCCGCGTATGCAAATCTGGCAGTACAAGCGCTAGCCAATCAAACCGCGTGTATGCTGGGAGAGCCAGACCGCAGTTCATTTCCTCATATGCCAAAAAATGGAGAAAATAATCGTAGCGATAGGGAATCACCCGGTGCTTTCAGTCCCTGTTCACCTGCCGGGATACAAACCGGAGGAGCCAGGGAGGTGGCAGAGACAGTGGGTGAAACTGGTAGGTTTTTGCCTGTTTGGGGAGTTTATATCCAGTGTACTTCGTTTGAATGGACAGCTAGCAGGCATAGACAGTATTTAGCCAGCATGGAATGTTGTATAAAATAGCACCATAGTAAAGTAAACAGATATGGTTCTAAACTGTATTGAAGTAAACATGTATTATTTTGAATTGTATTTTAGTGAACATGTATTGTTTGAACTGTTTTAAGTAATCACATATATACATATTGTATTCTCACTTACAACTCACTGACCCAGAGATCCTGTTACACACACATACACCTCCTCCCACCAGCACACACACATATTCTTTTCAAGGTTCTTTCTGGGCATCAATATATCTGTGTACAATGTTTGGTTGTCTGGGAAAGAATAGTTTGTGTGAAATATTCCTTGGGAAAGTAAAGGAGTGAATATCGGTGCAGAGATAAGATTGACTCTGTCCTTGTGAACTTCAGAATCTCACATTCTGCTCAGAAGAAAACATACTTTTTCTCAGAACTCTGATTCGCTGTATTGGACCCGACCAGAAGTGAATCCAACCAGTAAAAACACCTGGGGGAGTGAGCAGCTCACACAGCTCCTCCCCACGGACTCTCTGATTCGCTTCGGAGTAAAATGGGAAGGAAGAAGTCAACACATCTCCGCCCCAAAATATGAATATGAATACTGTTGTTTTTGCATGTAAAATGCTTCCTGTTTGCTGACTGGCTGGTCCCGATACCTGTATCGCACAGCAGTAGAAACCTGAAGTCCGGAGTACTCTGTAAAACTTGTATACGTGTTTTGTTTCTTACCAGTAAAATCAGATTATTGTTATAACCTTTATTCCGGTGTTTTGAATCCCTTTCTTTATTAAATAGAACCAGCCTCATCTAACGAACGGCGCGTAGCGGAGGGGGGGGGCTTTAAGCCAACCATCCAACAGTGTTTGCTACAACATGGTGGGAGGAGGTGTATGTGTGCGTGTAACAGGATCTCTGGGTCAGTGAGTTGTAAGTGAGAAGACAATATATATGGGATTACTTAAAACAGTTCAAACAATACATGTTTACTTCAATACAGTTTAGAACCATATCTGTTACCTTTACTCCCCAAGCTCAAGACACGCCCACCGCCAAGCGGCAACGCATGCCGCCGTGTGTAGGCTGCGTAACAAACAACCAAAGAGGGCAAGCGGAATGAGGCAATAAATGAAAGGTATTGCTTGATGTTTTTTTACTGAAATAAATAGTAGCCTCTATTGATAGTGAATCTTGAGCTCAGGACTTCACTTTATGACACAATTACGGCAAATGGCCATCCATTATAAAAACTCTTAGGACTAATTATTTTCGGCGTTATACAGATAGCAACCGATAAATGCAACACAAACAATAAGAAATAAGCAAAGTTACTCACTTTTTATCTTCGAAGGGATCAATCCCGTGATCATACTCCTCTTCATCACGCCAGCTGTCAGCTTCGGAATCTGAGGAATCCACCGCTGCATCGCTAAGCGGTCCGCCGGACAAAATCAATTCTACGGCTTCTTCCGTAGTGTAACGCCGTTTTGACATGTTGGTTTGAATTTGTCTTGGGATGTGTGTGTGTGTGTATATGTATGTATGTGTATGTGTGTGTGTGTGACTGTATCTAGATATCTCGTGTTGTATTTATTTCTCTTACGCTGGCAAAATTACTCTTCTTTAGTATTACTCTCTCGTCTCTCTGTTTCTCTTTGTTTATCTCCCGCCGCCAAAAACATACACAGCAACCTATGTTGATTGGTCGAGAAGATGGTAGCATGGGCAGAGGTTTGCCTGGACCTTTACATTTTAAACCTATCCGGACACAGGGGGGTGGGACTTAGTCTAAAACCTTTGCTGTTTGGCTCAGACGGAGGGGCCGCGTGGGTCTCCTTGACGAATCAAGGCTGTACAATATGATGACGTTGCCCCGATCACGTCGGAGCCTCTGAATCCCGGAAAAGGACATAGTGATACCAGCGAAAAGCCTATAATCGCTGCTTTACCTCACTTTTTAAATCAGATGGATAGGATTAACGGTTAAAAAGTTATTAAGAATTTTAGAACGCTACCTCTTTGAAGCCGCGGGCGGCTCGCTCGGTCTTTAAGGGTTAACATAAAAAAGTTTAAGGTCATCCACGTTTTTAAGTCCTTGAGGCAGTCTTACATTTTATTTAGATGATTGGTTTCATCAGGCTTGATGGATAAATATAGTTGAGTATCATCCGCATAACAGTGGAAATTTACAGAATGATTCCTTATAATATTGACTAGCGGAAGCATATATAGTGTGAACGAAATAGGTCCAAGCACTGAGCCCTGTGGCACTCCATGGCTAACTTTGGTTTGCATGGAAGATTCATCGTTGACACACACAAACTGAGAGCGTTGAGATAGATAGGACCTAAACCAGCCTAAAGCAGTTCCCTTTATGCCAACTAAATGCTCTCGTCTTTGCAATAGGATATCATGGTCGATAGTATCAAATGCAGCACTGAGATCGAGCAAAACAAGAATAGAGACAAGTCCTTTGTCTGAGGCTATTAAAATGTAATTTGTGACTTTAACCAGAGGTGTCTCTGTGCTATGTATTCTAAAGCCAGAGTGAAAATCTTCAAATAAATCATTGTTTTTTAAGTAATCACACAACTGTTTTGCGACCGCTTTCTCAAGAATTTTTGAGAGGAACGGAAGATTAGAAATAGGTCTACAATTGGCTAAAACCTCTGGATTGAGGTTGTGCTTTTTAAGAAGAGGTTTTATTACTGCTACTTTAAATGATTGTGGAACATAGCCTGATAATAAAGACATATTCATAATATTTAATAAAGAAGTGCTAATTAATGGAAAAACTTCCTTTAACAGCTTAGTTGGAATTGGGTCTAAGATACACGTTGATGGTTTAGACAAAAGAATCATTGAATTCAATTGTTCAAGGTTTATGGCTGAAAAGCATTCTAATTTACTATCTAGTGTAATATTAGAACTTACATTTCCGGGAGCTGTTGATAACACTATGCTGGTCAAAGGCAAGAGGTCATTGATTTTGTTTCTAAGAGTAACAATTTTATCATTAAAAAAGCATATAAAATCATTACTACTCCACTGCCCTCATCTAGCAGCGATCCAGGGCCAGGCTCTCCGACTAGTCCGGAGACTGTTACGGCCGCTTGCTCCACGGCGCTAGCAGTGCTCCCTCCTGCTCCCGGTCGTCAGCGTGAAGCAGGTGTAGGCGTACCCGCTGGTCTGTCTGCAATTGATGAACCGCCTTCACAGCCACAATTGAAGAAGTTCCCTTACACTCTTAATCAGTGGTCCCCAAACTAAGGCCCGCGGGCCGGATACGGCCCGCCTCCACATTTGGCCCGGCCCCCTGAACAATACCAGAGACGCATTATGATTTTTTTTTCAGTCTGGCCACGCGAATCCTAGACTAGCCCCTGTCAAATATAACGGAATAATGGCGAAAAGGTTAGGTCAGAGAAAAATTGATTCAGAATGCAGGGTATTTAACCTGCAGTGGTCAAACGATTATTTTTTTGTTCAATGGAAAGAAAAGGCTGTTTGTCTCATCTGTCAAGAGGCGGTGGCGGTATTCAAAGAATACAATCTGCGCCGACACTATGAATCCCGTCACAAAGACAAGTATGATAACTTGCAAGGCCAAATGCGAGCAGACAAACTCTCAAAGCTAAAAAGTGGACTGTTAGCTCAGCAGAATACATTTGTACGCCAAGCTCAGCTGAACCAGTCATCCGTTCGGGCCAGCTTTCGGGTTGCTCAACTGATAGCAAGCAGCGGTAAACCTTTCACTGATGGAGAGTTTGTCAAGAAATGTTTGAATGCTGTCGCGGAAGAGGTGTGTCCCGAGAAGAAAGATGTCTTTAATGCCGTGAGTCTGTCGGCGAGTACTATCACCAGACGCATTGAAGAAATCAGGGGTAATGTATATGCCCAGCTGCAGCAGAAGACGAAAGAATTTGACTTTTTTTCATTAGCACTGGATGAGAGCACGGACGTGCAAGACACAGCGCAGCTGCTCATTTTTATTCGCGGAGTTAGCGCAAACTTTGAGATGTGCGAGGAGCTGGCAGCCCTCCAAAGTCTCAAAGGGACTACAACGGGGGAGGATATTTTCGGCAAAGTATGCCAAACCATGGAAGAGTTGGACCTAGACTGGTCAAAGCTTGCCAGCATCACGACTGACGGGGCTCCTAGTATGGTGGGCGCGTCTCGGGGTCTAATAGGACGCATGAACCGGGAGATGGAAGAACGGGGTCTCACCGCCCCGCTACAAATCCACTGCCTAATTCACCAGCAAGCACTGTGCTGCAAAGTGTTGAAGTGGGATTCTGTCATGAAGGTTGTGGTGTCATGCATAAACTTCATCAGAGCAAAGGGACTTAAACACAGGCAGTTCCAACAATTCCTGTCTGAACTGGAGTCTGCGCACGGCGATGTGCTGTACTACACAGAGGTCCGATGGTTGAGCCAGGGCAGAGTTTTGAGGCGTTTTTACGAGCTGCTACCCGAAATTAACGCATTTCTTCATTCAAAAGACAAAACGGTCCCAGAGCTGATCGACCCAGAATGGAAATGGCACCTCGCATTTTTAACAGACGTGACAGAAATGCTGAACAGCCTTAACTTGCAGCTACAAGGCCAGGGGAAACTCATTTGCGACATGTATTCTCACATAAAAGCATTTGAGGTGAAACTTGCGCTGCTTTTGGAACAAGTGAAAAAGCACAACTTCATCCATCTCCCTGCTACCCAAAACCTCTCTGCAGAGAACCCAGCGGTCCCGTTCCCAGCTGAAAAGTGTGTGGAAGCACTGGAAATGCTGAAGGCGGAGTTCGGTGTGCGATTCCGGCAACTACGTGTTAATGCAAAAGAAATCCGTCTTTTTCAGAACCCCTTTCTTGCCGACATCGATGAAGCCCAGCCTTCTTATCAGTTTGAGTTGGCCGAGTTACAGAACTGTGATGTTCTGAAAGACGCATTCAAGCCCAACAGTCTCATTGACTTCTATGCCGCCCTACCAAACGACACGTACCCTAACATAAAAAAACACGCAATGAAGATGTTTACACTTTTTGGCAGCACGTATATCTGCGAGCAAACCTTTTCACACATGAAACACCTGAAAACTCAGATGAGATCAAGATTGACAGATGAACATCTGCATCAGTGTTTGAGACTGGCTGTGACTAGAATGGAACCTGACATTCAACTTCTCACCAGCCAGATGCAGGCCCACAGTTCACACTGATGAACATACATAGGTAAGATCACTTTTCTGAGTATAAACAAATGTAATCATAATAAAATCTACTGGGATAAAATCCATCTCCACAACCATACTGGTAGTGAAATGTATTGTGCTGTGTAGGTGCTGTATCACTTAGTTCGGTTTCTCAGCCTGCTTGCTTTGTGGTTTTCACAGGGAAGTTGATGAGAGAGAGCTGCAAACAGCGGTGTCTACAAGCCTACTGGAACCTACAAAAGGATTATAAGGAAGGAACACAAGAACTTTGAGAGACTGCTCATATGAGTCATTTGAGTAAGAGATTCTGCTCTGACAACTAAGCTAAACTTTTACCTGTTAAGATTGTGCACGGCACAACAGAAAGTTAATGTTCAGTGGACTTTTTTTCTGTGAAGAACCCAGAGAGGGTTATTTGGTTATTATTTATTTCATTAATAGTGTTATTATTTATTTCCTGACTTTTTTTCTGTGAAGATCCCGGAAAAGGTTATTAATATTTGGTTATGTGTGGCTTTCTGGAAAACAATAAATGTTTACGTTTAGGCACCCCTGCGATCGTCACACTTTTTCTGTTACAAACTGACCCCGGCCCCCATCAGAGAAGGGAAAAGTTATGTGGCCCTCACAGGAAAAAGTTTGGGGACCCCTGCTCTTAATCATGGGAAAGCAAGGTGCTTCTCATCGAGGTGGTATGGAGATTCAAGGTTCAAGGTTCTTTATTGTCAAACTAACATAGCTACAGAGTAATTATGTCGTTGAAAATCTTATGTCACAGGCTCTTATGTCACAGGCTTCTCCAACAATGCAACATAATAATAATACAGATAGTAAAAGTAATACAAAAAGAAAAATAGTTCTAAAATAAAGTGAGTATGTGGAATAGTGCAGTAAGAGTATATACAAGTTATTGGAATGATATATATTAGATAGTAGATATATATTACTAAGTAGCAGATGAATGTTTTGAAATTGTTTCAGCAGTTCAATTGTTTAACAGTCTCACTGCCCGAAGAAACTGTCTCCGAATCTTTTTGTTTTTGCCAGGATGCTGCGGTAACGTCTGCCAGACGGCAACAGAAATAACAGTTTGTGGCTGGGGTGATGGGGGTCTTTGATAATCCGTAGGGATTTCTTCCTGAGCCGCTGGGAGTAAAGGTCCTCCATGGATGGCAGCTCCGTCCTGGTGATGTGCTGTGCAGTTTTCACCACCCTCTGTAAAGCCTTACGATTGAGGTCGGTGCAGCTGCCGTACCAGGCCGTGATGCAGCCAGTCAGGATACTCTCTAAGGTGCACCTGTAGAAGTTGCAGAGTATCCTGGATTTTCCCTGGGTGGAATACAGCACAAGTACGGACGCACTTTTCTGCAAAATGTGCAGACATTTCCCCAGCCCAGGAGCTGAAGGTGCATTCACGAGGGATGGCTATCAAGACTGGAAACACCTGCGTAAGTCGTTGGAGAGACATGAAAAAAGCGAGGCCCACTGCAAGTCCATGAGCAGGTTTGAATGCTACAAGGGAACCCAAACGTCAAGAAGGGAGAATGTTGTTGACCAAATGAACCAAGAGGCACATGATCATGACTTTATAGAAAGAAATCGGAAGCATCTTAAAGTCGTCCTTGATATTGCGCTGTTCTGTGCCAAACAAGACATCTCTCTACGTGGACACAGGGAAACCAAGGAAGATCTTAATAATGGTAACTTCCTAGAATTATTTGAATTCATGTGTAAATATGATCCGGAGATCAAAGCTCGTCTCGACGAGTTGCCCAAAAATGCGACCCGATTGAGCCCTGAAATGCAAAACGAGTTGCTGGAGTCAGCCGCCTCCTTATTATTGCGTAAAATAAAAGCGGAGGTCTGTGAGACACCGGGTACATATTATGCTCTCATGGCAGATGAGTATAAGGATGCTTCCAAGCGCGAACTCGTTGCTGTTTGTGTGAGATACATTCACACGGGGAAAATAAAAGAACGCGCAATCGGCTTCATGGACACAAGTGACCTGAGTGCAAGGGGAATTTCAGACAAGATATTACAGATCATCGAACCACTGCAACTTGACCCATCTCTGTGCGCTGGCTTCAGTTTTGACGGGGCCTCGGTTATGTCGGGCAAAAAGGGAGGTGTGCAGACGATTTTAAAACAAACTTTTCCTCATGCTGTCTACATGCACTGTAATTCACACAGATTAAATGTGGTACTCTGTGCAGCATCAAAAGCGTCTGGACACGTTGCCACATTCTTTGAAACAGTGAACAGTTTGCATAGTTTCATGACAGGCAGTAGCAGACACGCTCGCTTTATAGAGGTACAGAAAGAGCTGCATCCAGGACGCCCCTGTCTAGAACTTGAGCGGTCTGTGGACACGCGCTGGAGCTCCAAAGCTGGATCAGTGGACAACATATTAACATTACTTGATGTAATACTTGAAGTGCTTGCTGAGTATGCGGAAAGCAGTGGCCAAACAAAACTTGAAGCCCAGTCCCTGCTCCAACAGATACAAACCAAAAAGTTCATATTTTTGCTTGTCACATTTGGTCAATTATTTGAAACGAGTGATTTTGCCACAAAGGGATTACAAAGCCCAACACTGTCAGTCTCTGAATGCATTGACCTAATCGAGGGACTAAAAGACAGTTTTGCACAGTATAGAGACAAGCCAGAGTGTGCTTTTCAAGTGATGAAGCTAACAGAAGAGCTTATGCAGAAACATGGAATCACGAGCTAAGAGAGAGTAAAGTGTAGGACCTGCCCGAAATGCCCGAATCGAATTACCCTTCTGCTTCACGTCCTTGACGCCGACATGCCCAAACTGCCAGATGATCCCGCGGCTCACACGAGAGCATCGTGGGCAGCACTTCCTGGCGAGGGCTACCCCGCAGGAGGAGACGGAGGATCTGGAGCTCGACGTCGTGGACGTGGGCGATTCGGGGAGCGAGGTGACGTCGTCCCGGTTCTCCCTTCCATGGGACCAGGCGGGCTTGGTTCCGATGGAGGACGAGGAGGACGCCTCGCTGACCGGAGGTCCAACTCTCAGGTCTGCGCGGATCGATTTCCCGGTGGTGATGACTCTGCGTATAGGCTTACCGCTCCCCCCACCGCTGCCACCGAGGCCTGTAAACCGCCTGAGATTTACGGCCCGGTGCGTCCGGCGCAGCCGACCTTCGTTTCGCCGACCTTCGTTTCGCCCCAGCTGCCAGAGGTATGGCGGTGTGTGGAGGCGACATGCCATTAAAAACGAAGGCCCCGATAGCCGCCATGGCGGGTATCGTTAAGGTGGTGGATCGCTCGGACACGACATGTCCAGGTGTGCCCCCCCCCTCGATGAGAGCCTGGCGGCCCATCTGCTTCCGCGGCTGGTTGGGCGGAGGGTAAACGTCCTCTGCCCCCGCTGCCCCGGGACCGAGACACCTGGAATATCTGGATAAGTTCAAGCTCGGTACGCAGATGGCGGCCGCGGCCGATAATCTTGGCGTGTTGGCGTATTCCTGATCACCCCTCAGGCAGACGCCCCCGCCCTCCCGTCTCAGGACGAGAGCGATTATTCGCACGGCGCTGTTAGTCAGATGAATAACCTGATTTATGGCGTGGCCACCGCAGCAGGGCGGATGATTTCCCTGGCCACAGTGGCGTCTCGTCATGTGTGGCTAGGGCTCACGGCCCTATCTAAGAAGGACCGAGAAGATCTCCACGGAGGGGCTCTTTGGGTCGGTCTCCTCGGGTCACCCAGCGCTTCAGCCGCCTAGAGGAGGAGAGAGTCCAGCTTAGCCGCATGCTACCGCTGGCTCCTCCTCAGGCCCCGCTACGTGCCCCCCCTCGCGTTGCCATGCAGGGGAGGGAGCGTAGTGCGACAGTGAAGCGGAGGGAGAGGCGCCGGCACGGGGGTCCCGTAGCTGCGGCGCCCTCCACCTCTACGGCCCACCCCGTGGCACCGGCATACCGGCAGTCACGGGGAAGGGCTGCCCGACCGAGGCAGGCTCCGCAACAGCAGAGAGCACCCGGGTGGGGAGCTCCATCTTCACGGAGTTGACTCCCTATTTAATGCCCAGATCCCTGTCAAAACTTTTAAAAATAAAGATGGTGTTGATCTATATCCAAGTCTGATTGTCCTTTGTTTCCACAATACACTTACACATGTTGATGACTGTACCAATTCCCCACTCGCCCCAGCTGTAGCTCCTGTTAGGGAGGAGGCTAGTGGGAGTGCGCAGATGAGAGTGATAAACTGCAGGCAGCGCTATTATGGTGCGATGCAGGTACAGGGACATTATGGCCGACGTTTTTCTGTTAGAAAACATTCTATGCCTGAAGCTAAGACTCCAAATAATGCTGTTTACCATAGTGGTAGGGGCTGCATTATAGCAACGCCCGCACTTGTAAAAGGGGCGCATGGCGGTGCGTTCAGGGGCCTTAGTAAGACACACTACGCCTGTAAAAATTCCAGTTAATGCTGTTTTCCATAGTGACGGAAATAGCATTATGATGGAGCGTGCGCTCACACGTGAGCGTGCGTTCAGGGTCCTCAATAGATAATCGGCCCTTTCTGTTTCGACCCCCCACGGGCAAATCTTCCCTTTACGGGGAGTTTTGCGGCGGAGCGGGTCATCAGAGAGTATCACAGCTTTATAGCTGCGGCCCCACAGCTGAGGGCTTGCCCATTAACACATGTTATGAGGAATGGAAACTCAGTTGTGTACTGACAAAGTGGATGGACAGGACGCTGAAACGGGGCTATTCACTCCAGTTTTGCAGCGTCCCACCTCCTTTTATGGGCATGCGAGAGGTAAATCTGTCTTCCCAGGAGGAGGTGGGTTTCCTCTCAGCAGAGATTCAGGCTCTGGTGCATAAACAGGCTGTGTCTGTTGTGCATCCTCAGCACAGAGAAAAGGGTCTTTATTCCATGTATTTCCTGGTTCTCAAGAAAACAGGGGAATTCAGACCTATTCTAGATCTCCGCGGCCTGAATCGTCATATTTCCTGCAGGAAATTCTGCATGTTAACTGTGAAACAGTTACTAGGGCTTGTGCAGCCAGGCGATTGGTTCACCACCATCGACCTGAAAGACGCGTACTTTCATGTGGAAATTGTTCCAGAGCACAGAAAGTATCTGCGTTTTGCCTTCCAGGGAATAGCCTACGAGTACAACAGGCTGCCGTTCGGTTATTCCCTATCCCCACGCACATTCAGCAAATGTGTGGCCACAGCGCCTCAACCGCCTCAAAAATCTGCCACTTCCTTACAGAGCCCCTCCTCCAACACACACGAACGCGCACATGACCAATGAGGGCACAAGATAAGTTTGTGCACAGATGGAAAGCTGACAGGCAGGTAGGCCATCCAGTTATTTTAGCCGGGCCGGCTAAAATGATTGGTCGTGCTTTTTACAGTACTACGGCTTCCACAGATGACATTTTTTTATGGATTTTTTGTCAAAGCACTTAAGATATTCATTGCTATCGGGATGTTAAGAGCATTCCATGGAATATAACAAAAAGTGTATCTCGAGCCGGTTTCTCAAACTTACCTACCCCACCTTTAAGTGTTTCCGGTCCCATTAACCTGATCTGCGTGGCCTTATTGAGAGCGGCCTTTAGCCAATTATTAATAAAAAAAACAATGTTACCAAATATTGTTGAGGTTTTGCAATGTAAAAAAATAAACGTTTCAATCCTTGGCATTTTTAGGAGGTTAGAAAGACTGATTCTGAAACATTTCAATACCAGTTTAGGCTGTATATTCAGATTAATGAATTTAATGCAGGACCCTGCATATTTCACTGTGATGGAAATTGTATTTCAGAGAGTTTTGAAACAGATATTTAAAAAAAATTCAACTGGGATTCATTAAACAATATATTTGTAATGTGTTTGTACATATACAGTATATACACGGTATATACTCTGATCTGGGCTATAGGAGTGACAGAAGAAAAGCAGCAGCCTCAGTTGTGGATCTTGATCCGGACTGACGGCAGCCTGATAGCCGCTGCCCTCACCTCGGCGCTCATGTCCACACCCAGCAGCGCCCTGCAACACAACACGCATTAGAGCTGATGGTATAATAGGAGCTATCTACTGACATTGTAAATACTTACTTTGGCTCATAGCGGACATCCACATTTGGAGGTAGTATCCCTTTCCCTTCTCTCAGGCGCTCAACACCATTCCTGGTATAAAAAGACAAAAAGGAACTGTACAGTGGGGCAAATCATCCAATCGGATACATTTTTAAGCTTTACTGAACCTCAGTACACCCACCATGCAATCATCACTCCGTTGTCAGTGCAGAATTTGGCAGGGGGGCAGAGCAGATGTAGTCCTGTGGTCTCAGTGATGATGCTCAGAGTCTTGCGGATGTACTCATTGCTGGCTACTCCTCCAGACAGGACCTGAACAGAATTCACAGTGTTCACCTCATAAATCCCCTGAAAGGAACAGAATGTGTTTGTCCCTAGTTCCGTGCTTTCAGACACCAGTACACTATCTTTGGGTTTCCACTGAAAGCTCATTAGTTCAGAACACATACTGTCAACCATTTGTATATTAACTGCTCACCCTGTGTAGAACTCTTGAAGAAAATGTTGTTTTTCTCACATACTTTCAAGGTCAACTGAGAATCCAAAAAGTCCTGATTAGATAAGTAAATTACAACAGCAAAACTATATGAAAAAGTTTGTTTACAAGCTCTCACACAACTGATGCAGTAAAGTAAATGTATCCAGTTGTATACTCACTACTTTTCCATCACATGCACTTTTTGCTACAACCAAACAATAAAAAACTCTTTGGATTTGCTTCACTTTGGAGTCGCTGGTCTGCACTAGCTTCAGACTGTTTATACGAAAAAAATTTGAATGGTAAAGTTTAAATGAAAAGGCATGTGAGAAAAAACAAAAGCATTGCTAGAATTAGAGAATTTAAGGTAACAGAGTGAGTTATTAGTATACACATTTTGTGGGTGAAGTATTTCTATAGTTTCTGAAAAACAGCTGGGCATTGTTGTTCTTTACTACGTTATGTGTAAATTTGTTATTGAATCATTTCAGCGGCTATTTACAGTATTTATTTGTATTTAGGTTTAAAGTGGACCTATCATGCTATATTTGAATAATATATTGTAGGGCCATACCTATATAAAACATGTCTGTGAAGTTTTTTTTTCCAAATACCAAACAGATCATGCATTTTAGCCATGCCTCATTTCACTCTATTTGCTCTTTTCCAGCCCTGTTTTTGCAAGGGCTGATTCTGTGAGAAGTCTTCTTCGCTGCTTTTGTGGCAGACTACAGCGCCACTTACAGGCCTGGCATATGTACTACAGCGTCTCCAGCGCTTTCGAGCGACAATGGCCGTGGCCGTGGCCCAACCCCCCATTCCCCTGATAGGTGGAGAGTTGCCCATATAGGCGGAGCTCCCTGTTTCTGACGTCAGAACAATTTCAAATCTGTATCAGCTCCGTTGCAGCCCCGTTTTTAGAGATTTGGGTATGGAGGAAAAGAGAGAGGGTTGTGTTTACTGACACTTGTGGCGCGTTTCCACTACAGCGCGGAGCACGGTTTAAGAGGGCTGTGACGTCAGCGGCCCGTTTTTGGTTGCGTTTCCACTTGGCCTAGTCCTAATTCACAGTTTTTCTGGCCTCATAAAATCGTGGTTCGAGGGCCAGGGACAACCAGGCTGAGTGTGTGACGTCAACACTCTCGACTGCTGATTGGTCGGAGAGAACCGTCACAATCGGCGCGCGAGATAATCCCTAGCGTCGCATATATATAGCGAAGCTTGCAGCATTTTTATAAACAGCATTTTTGTTAACAGAGGAGCTACAACAATGGCAAAGAAAAGCACACCATGGTCGGTCGAGGAAGTGACGACGTTCCTCCATTATATTGCAGATGATAAGGTCCAGCGGGAGCTCGACGGGACAACTCGCAATATCAAAGTCTTTCAGGAGGTCTCTACACTGATGTCCACAAGCGGTTACTCAAGGACTGTCGTGCAGTGTAGGGAAAAACTCAAAAAGATGAAGAGTGAATATCGCTTGGTAAAAGACAACAACAACACGAGTGGTGCCAGTAGGAAAAACTGGAAGTGGTTTGACCTAATGGACACCATTTACGGCCATCGACCGGCTAGCATTAGGAGGGAGGCCTGGACTCTGCAACAGCGTTACTGGAGTCTCTGCATGATAAGTTTTTGCTAACGCTCTGTTATTTGCTTGAAAGCTTTGTGTCCCTATCTGTTCTAAAGCTCACTTCTAACAAATAAGTCTATTTTATCCTTACATTTATGTTCGACCCATGCTTTTATGGAGCCCCGAAGGCTAGCTAGCTAGCTAAGGCAGATAGCATTAGCTAGAGCTATTGTTTGCTAACACCATATGTGCCATTGTTTACGTTCAGTTTGTCTTTTCTATAGTTGTTGTTGCTATTTATAGTATTGTGCTGCAGTAGTTTGTGGAATTAACAAGTCATGTTTCTGTTCTAGATGATTACATTGGGACTAGCGAGGAGGAACAGTTCCGAACAACGTCCTCTGCATCGACATCCTCCACATCAACAGCACAAACTCCAGCTCGACCACAGACACCAACACCGAGTGCCAGCTTGACACCGCTGCGTGTGGTTCTAGGTAAGAAATAGGCTGGAATTGTGACTTTTTTTAAACTTTAGATCAACCATCGTCAGTAAGTAAAATAAGCTGTACCACTGTGTGGGAATGCTCTGTTACAAGTAAAGTAACTAGCTAGTAAGCAGCTAGTATCTAGGGCCAGAACTTTCTTTAATTCATCCTTACTGTTCTGTTTATACATTTTATTCTTATATCCTTGTGTGACCTGTACCTGTGCTGTGTTTTTTCATTCTTATTGCTAATTATTATTGCTATAATTATCTTGTCACCCAGGCAAGAGGAACCGAGGGGGAGAGGATCTGGCCCTACAGGAACGGCAACTGGCCCAGCAGAAGGAACACCAGGAGCAGAACCTGGCCCAGCAGAAGGAAGACCGGGCCCAGCAGAAGGAAGACCGGGCCCTGCAGGCTCAGCACATGAACCAGACCTTGGTGGAGGCGAGGCTGTTGGAAGCAGCCTTGAGAAGGGAGGAGATCGCTCACGCAGAGAGCTTTAATTTATCCTTCCTGCGCACTCTTTGCCAGGTGCTAGGGGGAACGGGCAGCCGACGTGCCCCATCTCCTCCGCCTCTGTGATCCAACAAATAACCTCTGGCTGAGATTATATTGTTTATTTACATTTGTACTTTCTTGTTTATTTTTTATCTTTAAAATGTTTATTTTTACAATCAATACCATGTATTTTTATGCTGCTGCAATACAATTTTTTTTTTTTAATTTGTATTGTACAATGCCATGCCTTTTTTATGCTGCTGCGCTGCAACCAACATTTCTTATTTTTTTATTTGTAAGTTACAATGCCATGCCTTTTTTATGCTGCTGCAAGAAAACACTTCCCAAATTGTGTTAAATAAAGTACTTCTTTGACTTATCTTATTGCTTGTTGATAAATAATTGCACCCAACAGCGATCACACAGAAAGATGGCATCATCTAGGCGTCCCTCTGCAGTCAGAAATATCATAAACACCATCATCGTCCACAAAGCACTGCACAGTGCATTTCTTGTGATAATAAACCACACAGCAAGAAACAAGCAAACGATCTTTTCCACATCCTCCATTGTTGTGTGTTGTGTCACATTGAAGATGACGTCACGGCAGTTTTAAGCAGCGTCGCTCCGCCTACACTGCGTTACTATAGATACTACCCCAGTTCCTTAACTGTAATGGAAACGCGCCATGAAGTGAGCTGGTCCTAACGAGGCCAAGCGTGAAAAAGTGGAAACGCGGCATTGGTGAGTTCCCTGACACACATATGCATGTATAAAAGACGTACAAAAGTGCATTTTGCATGATAGGTCCCCTTTAATTATTTGGATTTAACCGATCAAATGCGCAAGTAATTGCAGTAATGCAGTCTTCAAGCTTGTAGAGTTATATATCTTTTGTCATAAACATGTCATATTTTGAATATTTAACAATACATTTACTTTGCATAACAGAGTACCATTTGATTTATAAATGAAACGTGTTTTACCTCAATTATTATCCTTTTTTTCCTGAATCTTGTGTACGTTTACATTTTTTTCTTTTCGTGTCAGTAAATACTGCAACTGTTTGTTGTGATAAATGCATATTATATGAATGTAAAAGGCTTTATCTTTAAAAAAAGATTCCAATAAGAATCAATAACTGAAATGTTGAACATCAGCTACATTGTCTCAAAGGTCTATGGGAGTATTAAATAAATAGTGACACTCACCAGGGTGGGATTGCTGGATGGCAGCATACCGTTCTCCTTGCAGAACACGATGGCCCGGTGCGTGCGCTTTGCCAGATGAGAGGCCACCGTGTGCTGTGTGGCAGCTGCAATGTCCTTCACACAGGAAAGCAGAGTCCCCTGCTCTATACCTGCAGAGGGTACAAGTAAGTAACATGTGAGAATACTAGGGAACTAGTGACAGAAAGTATAATTTTTTTAAACAAACATTATCAAGAGTGTGTTTATTCTAGGGCTGCAATTTACTAACTTAACTTATGAATTATTGTCAATATAAATGAATCTGCCCCATTATTTTCTAGAGGTGAGAACATGGTAAAAAAAGTCTTGTTTTGTCCAAAACCAAAGTACGTTCACTTTCATATGATATACACAGCAGGAAAGCTCCATTTGTAATATGTTATGGCTGAAGCTACAGCTTATAATGATGCATTTGAAAAATGAAAAATGTTCCCAAACAGTTGTATAAATAGATCTTAAACCTCTATTCATGTACTTCTGTTTTTTGTTTGTACTACAGTTTCCAAAACAAAACAAAATTCTTAGAAGCGTTGAATTTCAGACACTTTGACTTTCCATTTGCATGAAAAGTACAGGTGAAACTATTAACATGTATGATCCCATGGTTTAGTGCAGTTCAGTGCAGTAGTCGTGTTTGTTGTTGTTTGATGTTTTGAGCAATATAAGCTGAAAGAATCTGGTGGTTGTGGTTTTCCTTTCTGAGACCATGGCCCTTTCTCATTTCATCAATTCCCCCTCCTCGACTCCTCGGTCCTCCGGTAGTGACCAGGAAATTAATTTTAGCGCGCCATGTTGAAGGACATCTCATTTCTCTAAATGCACATCGAGGACCGAGGATCGAGCGTCGAGGAGGCTCTCTGGAGGAGCTATAACCGAGGATACACTGATGGGTCCTCCACGGTCCTCCACGGTTCCTCCGTGGATGCATTTCCGGGAACAGAGATGTTTCAAAGAGTCGTGACGCACGGCCGGACTGATCTCAGCCAATGACAGCTCTGCATGCATCCCCTGGATATTATTTTATTAACTGCTTTCATCGCAACGCGATGTTTACAGAGAGAACAGCTGTGAGGTCCGTGCAGAAAGCAGAGCAGTGTGTATAATATATATCACTCAGTATAACAGGCCTACTCTCTTTATTTGCTTTAGTTTAGTAGATATCTACAAACAAAGAGTCGATATTTTTCTAAAACCATTTAGTGCTTCACATAATAAAATACACAACGGCTGTAGCCTGATTATATGCTTTAGGAGCTGTAGGTGTGTGTGGTTCAGTGTGTGCGTAGATGCAGCGGACAGACCGGTCTCAGTTGGTTTGGTGTCCTCTGCTTACTTGTAATACTTGTAAATAAAACTTTTGGCCCGTAATTTATTTCCCTCATTGTAGCGACCAGAGGGGAGAGGGGGGGGGGGATATATCCAGTCTCTGATAGTGTTACGTTATTATGAGAGTGCTCTGCTTGATTCTGAAATGTGTGTGTGTGTGTGTATGTGTGTGTGTGTGTGTGTCCGCATCTGTAGCCTGTTATTGTCTCATTATACCGCACTGTGAATGAATTAAAAGTAAATATACAAGTCATCATGAGCTGCTGTGCCTCCTGTCATCATTAATGGACTTCTCTTTAAAATGACCGCTCAGAGGAGAGGAGTTCTCATTTCTCTAACCGCCTGCTGCTTCCCCTCCTCTCTCCTCGGCTCCCCTCCTCTCTCCTCGGCTCCCCTCCTCGGCTCCTCCGCTCGCATCTCCTGTGGGCGGGACTAAGTCTCAAGGATAGGAGTCGAGGAGGGGAGTCGAGGAGGGGAATTAGTGAAATGAGAAAGGGCCCATGTGTCTTCATACCTTCCTCTGCCTCTTTTTTCATTATCGCCATGTTAACTTGATTCCGTAGCCCAGTGAATGAAAAGCAGCAGTCGTACGTTTGCCCCATGGGGGTCCTGAACGGGAACCTTGACCTGTCTCCATCCTTTGCTAGGAGCTCTAGAGCCTGTCCTCCACTCAGTGTGGAGCACTGTGGGTGCTTTATGAGAGACAAACGCCTTGCAACCTGAATCCGGAAAAAAAATACATTAGGTTAACATACACAAATTGAACAACATGAAAACTAAATAATATTGGGGTTAAGGGAAGAATTCACCCTGAAATCATCAAATATATATTTCTTATGTTAAATGTAGTGCTATTCATCTCTATAAAACTAGTTTTCTCTCTGATTATAATGCAACTCAATGGCTTGTGGTGCTTAAAGTGCCAACATTTTTTTTTTTAAAACTTCAACAGAATTGTCTCTTTCAAGAAATCACGACCCGGTTACAGGGGAAATTCAAAGACCTTGTCGTTAGCCATTACTTGTAGGAACTATTTTCTTTCTACCAAACTACACTCACCAACAAGCCTGCTGATGGTACAGCAGAGCCAAGGAGGAAGCCATTAATGTTTAATTCTCGTGCAGTCACACCCCTTTCACCCATGAGAAGATGCATGCTTCCTTCTGCATGACGATGTTTGGCAGGTGTAGTTAGGTGGAAAGAAAATAGTTCCTATATGAAACTGCTCACTAAGGTCAGCGGATTATCCTGAGAAACCGGGCAATTATTTCTGGTAAAAGACATTGCTGTTGAGTTTTAAAAATGTACTTTTGGGCTCTCTGAGAACCACAAGTCTTCTAGTTTCATTATAAAGCTTTATTTGTATAGCACTTTTATACAGCAGGTGTAGCTCAAATGTGCTTTAACAACATGGCACAAATCACAATTTATGAAGAATTTCAAATCAGACCAGACGTTAAAACCTTTTAGCGTCAACAGTTTAAGGTACACAGGAGGTAAAAGGTATTATAATAAAAAATAAAACACAATAAAATAAATAATGACCCCTCTTGGTAAAATAAAGGAATACAAAACCAATAAATACGCAAAAAATAAAAACCTATCAAATAAATATGTTAGAACAATAAAAAAAAATGTGGAGAGAAGGAAGACATCTCCAACACTTGTTCATTGTCTCCACTGTAACGGAGCTTACACACGGCGGCGTGCGTTGAAGATTGCCGGCGGGCATGTCTGAAGCTAGACCAACAACCAATCACCTGAATCTCCCGCCCCGGACACACAAGCAGCGGTTTGATTGGCTAGAGCTTGTACTGGCATATGGTTCGATAGGCTGATGCTTCCGTCGAAGCTTCAAAAGTAGAACATTGCTCTACATTTGAAGCGATCAACGCGAGCAAAGCTACACTTTGCTCCCACAATGCAGTTCGGCGGAGCGTGACGTCACCCCATTCAAAGTGAATGGGCAGAAGCGGTGAAGCTTCAACGCACGCCGCCGTGTGTAAGCTCCGTAAGGGGTCCCTGGCCTCAAAGAGTTGAATAACCCCTGACCTTGATAGATAAATGGCAGAACAGGTAGGTATTTTATTTTGAATTGACCAATCCCTTTATGACCTTACTTTATCCATCGTATCGCCTGGAGCTTCATCCAGACTGTGACCCAAAAGCAGGAAGTCATCCACTCCTCGAGCCACAGCGAGCAGCGAGTGACCTCCAGAGACCAGCAGCACCAGGAAGGGGAAGGGAACCGGCTGGAGCATCCTGACGGTGAGGGCGTGGGCCTCCATGTGGTGGATGGGGATGAAGGGCTTGTTGTGCTGCCTGACAAACCTCCGACTGAAGTCCAGCCCGATGCCCAGGCTCAGGCCCAGGCCGGGCATCACCGTGGTGGCCACAGCTGAGAGCCGGCTGGGGGCCACGTGGCTCCTCTCAAGGGCCTCCTGCACCACCCGCTCTATGTTCTCTCTGTGGAGCTGCTGGGCCACTGTGGGGATGATGCCTCCAGTCCTGCAGTATTGAAAAGGGAAGAGATACAAGCAGTAAGTACTCAGATTTATACTTAAGTAAAAGTAGAAGTATCAGTGTGTAGAAGTACTCGGTTACAAGTAAAGGTCCTGCAAACAAAATACTACTCAAGTAAAAGTAGAAAAGTATTGGCATCAAAAAATACTTCAAGAACCAAAAGTAAAAGTACTCATTCTGCAGATTGGCCCATTTCAGAATAATATATATGATGTGTTTTGATTATAATGATCGATGCATTAAAGTGTTATCAAAGCTGGTAAGGGTGCAGCTAGTTTGAATGACTTTGTATACTGCAAGCTTGTGAATTTACTCCAGGTGCAAATACAAATTGTATTATATTTCACATCTACAATCCTAATGAAGTGGAATAAAAGTAAATAATTTACCTGTGCAAAGTAGCAACACATACTGAAGTACAAATATCTCAACATTCTGTGTGCATTTATTTATTTTGTCTGACCCCATACAATAAAGTCTAAGTGGGTTTGAAAAAAACCCTAAAGCAGTTAGCCTGTTACCTGAATGGAGATGTGACACCCACCTGAGATGGACTTCTTTCTGTGAGTGTAGAGACTCCCCCAGTATTTTCCCTGTCTCGTCCATAACTGCAGCTCCAGTGTCATCACAGCTTGTCTCAATGCCCAAAACCAGTCTGGAGCAGGGGGCTTTAAGTGAAGCACAGCCCCACAATGTGTGTCTTAACTGTAGCAGCCTTTTTACTTTCGTAGGGAACATAGTTATGCCTCTTCTAGGAATTAAAATAGGGGGGTAAAGATAGTGACCTCACATCATTTCCCATTGATTTCTCTCCATAAAAAAAAACGGCGACGAATATGGCAACGGCATGACATAAGGTTTCGAGGAAATTAACAAAAGACAGACAAAACAACAACCTTGTCGAGTTCCGAGCAGAAAACTGTTTTCTGTCTCTGCTACTCTAAAGCGTGTGGCTGTGTCACATGTAAATAATTCCGTGCACCACCGAGTTTGTGACCTCTGATAAAGTACAGGCACTAATCCAAACATTTGCAATATACCTAAAATATATAATTATTACGGTAACTTAAATTATAAATACACATAGCTAATAAATGGAATATTCGTATAGAAAATCAAGGATAGGTCCAAATAATGTATGACTTTCTAGGGGGACATTTTAGTCAGCTGCACAAATGCGTGCGCATGGAGTCCAGCGCCTGACTGCTTCCTCAACGTTTTGATGTCAGAAGAGGTATAGTTGATTTACTGTCATTAAAACTGTAGAATGTGCGGGTATCTGGTGTGTGCTGTGTGTAACAAACATTGCGCGTGTTTAAAAATTGAAATCAGCCTTTTCCATGTAGCAGTTGGCTGTGCTGCGTTCACGATTACTAGAAATGCCGTGCTCAGTGTTTACAGTGGTGGAATGTAACAAAGTACATTTACCCAATAACTGTTCTTAAGTCAGACATGTAGGTACTTGTCTTTACTTTACCTGAGTATTTTGACATAACGGCAAATTCTGTAGTTTTTACTCCACTACATTTATTTTACAAATGTAGTTACTAACAACTTTGCAGATTTAGATTATTAATACAAAATATAAATGAAAAAAAAGCCTCACCAGTTGTATATAAAGTAATTCAAATAAACCCCACCTTTCCCAAGTGCAACATTGAAGTGATGAACACATAAATTAATTAATACAAGGTTCTAAAATGGTCCATTCTGCAAAATTGGTACTCTATTTTGATGCTAATTCTTTTTCACTTATACTTAAGCACAATTTTGAATACAGGACTTTTACTTGAGTATTTGTACTCAGTAGTATTGCTACTTTTAATAAGTAAATAGTCTAAGTACTTCTTCCATCTCTGGTTGTTTGAAGGCAACATATTAACATTCTAATTTGTATATCTGAAATAACTCATAACATTTTGAAATGTCTCTTGGATTTCACGTTCATTTCATGTGTCCTTAAATTTGTAATGTGTCATACAATCGGTTTGACTCTGTCTCTACTGTATTTATTGTGCTGTAGACATAAACGTATTTAAAGTGTTTGGGGGAGCTGAATGTTGCTAATGCTATCAAAATACACTTTAATTCCTCGGATCACGTCCTAATATTACTGCTGCGATTAATGAGGGAAATCCTGTTGATAGCACTTAGGTGAAATTTAAGTTTTTTTTCAGATCGTGAATAATAATGACTTTTGTAAAGTAGTTTTTTTAAACAAGGCTGTTGTACACTTTCTGCCATGACCAGGGAGCTTTAGCTAGCATTAGCCCTCTTTTAACCTGGGTTTTAACAAGCATTTCATGTTGACTTTTCTAAAGGAGTCATGGAACACCCAGCTTGTATTTTGGAGGAGTTGAAGCAGTATGTCGTAAATGAGGCCCCACCAACAGTGTATTACATCCCAGATTTCATATCGGAAGAGGAGGAGTCCTACCTTCAACAGAAAGTGTTGAACTCTCCCAAAACTAAATGGACGCAGCTGTCAGGCAGACGGCTTCAGAACTGGGGAGGGTTACCACACCCCAAAGGCATGCTGGCAGAAAAGATTCCTGACTGGCTCCAAACCTACTGTGAGAAAATCTCCTCTCTTGGTGCATTCAGTGGGAAAACGGCCAATCATGTGTTGGTGAACGAGTACAAACAAGGGGAAGGGATTATGCCTCATGAGGACGGCCCTCTGTACCACCCTACTGTCACCACCATCAGCCTGGGCTCTCACACCCTGCTCGACTTCTACACGCCCGTCAGCAGCCGGGAGGATGATGCACCGCAGACGGAGGAGAGCCGCTTCCTCTTCTCCCTGCTGGTGAAGCCGCGCAGTCTTCTGATCCTGCAGGAGGACATGTACCAGCGTCTCCTTCACGGCATCCGGCCCCAGGGACAGGACACGCTGACGGACAAGGTGCTGAACCTGTCTGCTGCCGGGGCCCAGCCAGGAGAGACACTGACCCGAGGCACCAGAGTGTCACTGACCATACGACACGTGCCCAAAGTTATGAAGGCAAAGCTTTTACTGGGGAGAAAATGAAGAAAGACCTAATATTTGCTATGGTACTATATGTTGTGTTTGCCACTGACACCATCTAGTTTAGTCTCAGCCAGGATGCTTATCAGTTCTATTTTATACAAATTGTCTGTATTGTATCACTTCAGCTTTGTTAAATGTATCAAGTAATTTCACTGCTTCGGTAATTTTAATCTCGACATTATCAAAGGCAACAATAGAATATAGTTGCAACTATAAATTGTTTAAACACGCTCTGGAGGGAACACATACACAGATTTTGGCCTTTGCAGACCATTTACATGCACTAAAACCTATAGAACACACAACAGGAAAGGGAAAACCCAAAAAAGCATAATGGGGCCCCTTTGAGGGTGTATGGCATCTTTGTTGCAAATATCTATTGAAGAAGAGACATTTTTATTTTGTTTGGTATTTGCATTAGCTGAATGTCTGTAATAATTATTCAGGTCTTATAACTGGAATTATTTTGTATTGATTTGTCAACTCTTGTTTGAGCATAAAATGGATAAACAATTGGTATTGGTTGTGCTGCTTCGTGTATAAATGTTTACTTTATGAATTTATTTTAACAGCTACAAATAAGAGTGTAACCGATATACAAGCATGCTCAATAAGGGGTGGATTTCGGCTTTTCACAGGTGTACAAGTATCGGCAGATGAGTAACTGTAGTACAGAAATGCAGGGAAATGTTTGAGGTAACTCCAAAATCTGACACGACTACAGAGCATTGACAATTTCAATCGTTCTTTAAAGAATGCCAATTCAGGTGTATCAATGTTGGACTCAAAAATAGAGTATTGTTTGAGCTCTTCTAGAAATCCACTTTATTTCAACTACCACCTTCAAATGCAATGTACTTTTTGTTTAATTTTACTTTAGACATTTATTTAAAAAACAATAAAACAAGACGGTATAGGATTTATTACAAATTCATTGTAATCCTTGAAGTTATACAAAAAAATCTTCCTTAACTGTTGGGCCAGTAGAAAAAATAAACAGCAAGTGTTTTGTTAAACGATTAATGTTATAGTCAGTTTTTTTTCATGCAAAAGTGCTGTTTTCAGCTCCTTTTTTAAATATGGAGATTTCCTACTTTTGTCTGATCTTTATTTCAAAATAATATTGAAGTGAATATCTTGGTTTTGGACCAAACAATAAATAAGACGTCACAATTTTGAGAAATTTGGATGGACGGTTTTCACGACGATTTTACATTTTATGGACAAAACCATTAATCTAGAAAACAATTGGCAGGTAATCGATAATCAGTATTGGAAAAGCCTGTTGGCTGATCTCTGTTATGGAAATCTCATAATGCAAATGTCTTTTGGGCTCAAGCTGTCATTTTGTATAGACCAGGCTTAGTTTCTGTCCCCACACAACTGAAAGGCTTTGTCATCAAGTGTTGTCCTGAAAATGCACTGACTTTTGTTTCACTCTGGTGCAAAATCATATTTCACAGGAGAGCGCCAAAACAATGGAGCCCCAGAGGAAGCGCTGGAAAGGCTCCGAGTGTGGCTCTGACTCCTGGACAGTTTACCCTGTGCTGTCAGATGAGCAGTCGAAAGACCTGGAGCTAGTGGAGGCGTTTGCTGCACCTGTGCTCAACAAGAAGGAGACCTCTCGACTTCTCCGCGAGCTGAGTAGCCTGTACCCGATGAGCGGCCTTCAGCACATCAAGAGGGTGCGGGCGGTGAAGGGCAGCCCCCACCCTCTGGAGGTCCTCCTGTGTCTTGTCAGGGACGCACCACACATGGAGGTTCTGAGCATCGACTCTCTGCTCCCCTCAGGAGTGAAACATGACGCCTTAGGTGAGCCTTTTCGGGTTAAGATCCCTGCACGTCCCCCCTTGACCCGCCCCCAGTTTGAGCAGGCGGGCAAACACTGGCCCACCTCCTTCCATGAGGACAAACAGGTGACGGTGGCCCTGAGGGGGGAGCTGTTCACTGCACCTCAGAAGGCCAGTATGCACACGCACATGATGTCTGCTCTGACTGCGGCCAAAGCAGGAAGTGAGTTGGGGATGGACGCGGTGGGAGCCGTGGTGGTGGGGTCATCAACAGAGAAGGTCATTGCAGTGGGCCATGACTGCAGAGGAGACCACCCCCTCCATCATGCAGTCATGGTCTGCATTGATCTCGTGGCACGTAGCCAGGCCGGCGGGAGTTATTATTTTGACCAATACCCCGCTTGTACATTTACTCCCCCAGCCTCTGACACCTTTCAAAGTATTCCCAGCTCTCTGCCATACATCTGCACTGGGTACGACCTCTACGTGACCCGAGAACCTTGTATCATGTGTGCCATGGCGCTCGTCCACTCCAGGATAGGGCGGGTCTTCTACGGGACAGCCTCTGCCGACGGGGCCTTAGGGAGCAAATATAAAATCCACACGCAGAAAGATCTGAACCATCACTTTGAGGTTTACAGAGGAGTGCTGGGAGAGCAGTGTGAGGATCTGACATCCAAAGAGGAGGTTTACAGGAAGGTGGATTATTAACGGATCAGTTTAAGTTTTTTAATTAAATCTGATGCAAAATGGTAAATGTCTATCTGTGATTTTTGTAAAGTTTGATGTATCAGGATTTGAAGAGGCTCTTTTTCTTCCCTTGTTTGCAGTGCAATTGGCTCAAGTGTGTGTACATTTTACCTTTTTCTCTGTGGAATCTGACAGAATCCAGCATCTTTCCAAGCGTGTCAAAAATAATTCAGATGTTGTATACAAAGCTTTCTCATGTTAATCCTGCGGAATGTATATAAAAAAGGCTTTTTTTTATAAACCCAGGTCTACCAGTCTTACTTCTCAGGTCAAAAATGAAGCCTTCTACTTACCTTCAAGTTTATTATCAGAACAGCTCGCATCAAATTTGTGAATACTTTATTCTTTTTTAAAGAAAACCATGTGTAGAATGCACTGATAGTCTCAGAAAAGTACCAAAAAGTTTTTGTTACATTCCCGATGATATCTTGTCCTTGCATTGCTCTGCCATTAAAGAATAATCTTTGAAGAAAGTTTGAGGGCTCAAACATTTTAATAAGATTAAAGAACAAGACATATCAAGAGCTAATGGCTATGGCCAAACAAAGCAGAACTAGCTGCCTTGATGATAGCAAAGCAAAGTCATAATCTAAAGAAAAGCAGCTACATTATGTAAGTGGATCACAGAGATACTGTAGACCTCCCTCGGTAAACACTTAGACAACATATCCTCTTATTTCTAAACACAGGACTTCTTCTTTAACATACAGGACATAATATTCACAAATACATCTGTACAATGAAAACAACCTGCCCTGTTCTGATTGAGCTACAAATGATTCACATACCAAGGAAACTGTGCAAAAAAAAGAGTATGATTCCATTCTTCACTCAGCATGAATACGTTTGACACCCATTACAAAATGAGAGTGTACCAATAAAACAACGAGCCACCGGCCCCTCACCCTTAGGAAGTAAACATCTTTGAAAAATACATTTGGGGCTTCTCTGTGGCTAGCGACATACTCCCAGTTTGTGTTGCCATGTGAACTGAGGGCAAAAAAAAGAAACAACCAAAAGCCTCACTGATGCCTGGGCCAGCCCAGGTCTATGCAGGCCAAAAATACATCATTAAATATTCACATAAGTTAGTAATGCATATGGCATCCTGTCCTCTACGAACCTACTCCTGCCTTCCTTTGAAACTTTTCATCTCAATCTGATACATCTAAACGACGACAAACTGTACGACTCGGTACACACATCGGAGGCACACACTACACAGGAAGTCACTTCTGCTGCTATGAGGCACAGTGCTCACGATAACTTAATACTTGTTGATGCCGAAGATTCTCACTCCGTGTAGTTGTGGCAGCTTGGGGATCAGGACGCTCAAAAGCGAGGCGGTGTTTATGACGAAGTGTGTCGTGTCGTACTTTGTGTAGAAACTTGCCAGGAAGTATCTGTGGAGCAAAACAAATGGTTAAAAAAGGAAATCAAATATCCCTGCCTAAGTGGTAACTGCAAGACAAACCCACAGTTTTCTGATTGTTCAAAAGAACAATATGTCATTTTCCTGATGCATGGGTCTCTGAACTACAACGACAAAACTATAACAAAAGACAGAGTTTGGACATGTCGTGAAGTAGTGTGGAATCATGGGAGTCGTTGACTACAACACCTCTGAAGTTATTGCACAATTATATGCTGAAGTCTGCTCTTTCCCAATACTGATTCAAACTGATAAGAACACTGAATAAATCAGTTTCATGTTAAGAATCAGTGTTTTTCTCAGACAGACTGCGTTGCGAGCTAACATTTGCTCATTGGGTTTGTGACAACTTTAGATCCAGACATTCGGGAGATTTTTTGCAGCTTTTTAGTTATCTTTAGAGGTCTCCTCTTCAAAACAAACATACATGGTGATGAAAACCAGTAAAACACTAAATAAAGCTGTTCCATGATAAAAGTCATGGTTTAGTCATTATTTCTCCGATGCTGTTCGTCACACAGATAGGGCTGAGAGCAGAGCCACGGCTAACGTTAGCTCAGCTTGCTTCTCTGATGACTTAACATCCCTATGTCCAATGACTAAGTCCTTAATCCGATTAAATATAGTGTTAAAAGATTGCAGGATCTAAAAAAGTGTATTGTTAAAAATGAATTAATGACAGCTTCTGGCAAGGGGGACACAACAACGTTACAGGAGACCAAATGAAATACGTTACCTTGATTTAACTTACATATTTCTCTGAAAATTGTTGGAACCATTTGGGATAATGTAAGTACGAAATATATTAAAGGTCTAGTTGTTTAAACTATTTGAATGCATACAAAATTACATATTATACCTTAAATGGTGTTGTCACGGTCAACATTTTTATAGATGCTTTCTTTTTTGTTTGGTAGTCAGTGTGACCCAGGATTTGATAAATATATTAAAATGTTTCCTTTATCTAAATCAGTACAAAGACACAACCATATTATATGTAATACATACAGGATGATGGGGGAGATGGTGAAGAACTTTCTAGATGAGGTGAACTGCACGCCGTAGTCAAGCTGTTCCCAGTGTGTGAGCAGCCTGGCTTTTCCCTGGTCAGGGGTCTCGAAGGGAGTGCCCTTCACTGCATGCATGAACACATACATCCCCTGTAGAGACAAGAACATGGCTGATAATGTAGGGCTAACAATCTGTTAACATACCATAGCACACTGATGACATCTCTGTTTACATCTCTACGTCTCCATTTAAACTTGAAAAATATTGTAGAGTAGAAATTATGTTCACAATAAAAAAAAAAAAAATGTTTCTAGAGATTTTTTTTGTGTAAAGTATGTTAAGTTTCTGATCGTAGTGCTTTCTAAATATTCACAAATTAGGATTTCCTGCTTTTTGCCATATTTAAAAGTGTTTGGTTTTTGACTCACAAAAAGTCCCTTGGACTTTGAGAAACTGTGTAGGTCATTTTTCCAGTTTTTTTTTGTTATACACCAAATGATTAAGTAGCAATTGTAATGAGACTTTTGGATCAAGGACTCGGAACACAAGGAGAACACTAAGTTATGGCCGGAGAATTGACAAAGACATTTGCTGCAGCCACGAAGTGAACAGCTGATGAAGTTTTCTTCACATTTGATAACCAGTCAAAGCTAGCTCTGTTCCTAGAAGGGAGTTATTGCTTACTGCTCTCTGACACTGTGCGTCAGCTTGGTCCTGTTATTATCTGATGAAGAGCTTGTTTTATGAATGTTTTGGTCAAGCCAAATCGACTCTCTGGGTCATACCAAGACACAGCTGTGGGGCTCCAATGCCTGCATGAGACAGAGGAGTGAGAGGAGAGGCAACAGCTTAGATGACTAGAACTAAAGGGCCATATAGAGAATTCTACATCACCGATTACTGAATGAATGAATTATCAGCAAATTGATCGATGGTGACAGAAATCTCTAGTTGCAGATTCTCAAAACTCAACAAATTCACGCCAACTTACTTATCTGACAAACTAGCTTGGATAAAAACAATAACTTGGTTTCTGCAGGAGTGTTGAGAGTGAGCTGCACAAAGACTCCCAACAGAAACATACCAGCTCCTGCCTGAGGCTTGGGCGCCTGAAAATACATGTTCAAAACACAGGAAAAATCGAAGATTTATGGCTAAATTCTTTGGGAATGACACTTTCCAATCGGATGCCCCTAGGTAAAAAACGAAAGAATGCAGTTGGAAATAGAAAACGTGCATTACACAGTAATACAACTAAAATGCTGTCTTAATCGGCCCACTGCAGCTGTAGTGTGTGACAAACAATAAGCCTTAGTTGACCTTAGCAGCTACTGTTAATAGCCTCATGTACCGGCTGCTGATACACAATCCCTGTAAACTGCCTGCAGCTTGCACTACTTGATGATGTCACACACACACACGGACTTTGTTTCTTATTTTTAAGCCAGCTATGTAACAATGAATGGTCATTTTTCTTTCTTGATGTGGAGTGGGGAAATTATCATAATAGGTCACAAGGACAGCCTCCCCAAAAATAGAGCATATCTCAACAAGCACACACAAGCACAGGCAGAAGGTAACACACACCAGGCTGTGTGCTGAGCATGCATGCAAGATTCATTCGGCTTGTGAGGCTACAACTGAATTTTATTTTATTCAAAATGTTATCTACAGTAAAATATCCCTTAATTATCATGGTAAACGGAATATTACATTAATGCACACTATGCAAACACTGTGTTGTTCATCATAACACTGGCAGTCGTTTTTTATCCTGTTTTATTTTATGGTCCTTGTCTTACAATTTATCTTCCTGAAGTGTGTTTATGTAGGCACCAAATACACCATGGCAAATTCCTCGTATGTGTTACCTACTTGGCAATAAACCTGTTTCTGATTCTTAATATGATTTTGGGAGGACAAAACAAGACTCAGCTCTGACTTTTTTTCCCCATTTTGTTGTTATGTACTATACTTATCAAGAAAATCATCAGTAGATGAATTGATACTGAAAATATCTCTAGTTGCAGTTATATTTATTCTGAGAAAAGCTATTCTGTTTCGCTCATTAATTAAGAGAAAAACGTGTAATCCGAAGCTGAATCCTGATTTTTATATATATTATAATTTCTGTAATTTGGATAGTCTATGACTTTTTTTTATTATCTTTTTCTAATCCATACAAAATACATATATTGCATTCTGTCCATCCTCAGAGAGGGATCCCTGCTATGTAGCTCTCCCTAAGGTTTATTACGTATCTTCCCTGTTCATTTTAAGTTAAAGTTTTTCCTCGCACCCTGTTAGGGTCTAAGGATAGAGGGTGTCATATGCTGTACACTGTAAAGCCCTCTGAGACATGTGTAATGTGTAATAGTGAGCTATATAAATAACATTTGATGCATTGATAAAGCAATTTCAAAATGACCTGATTAGCTAGTGTAGTATTGTAGCGTGCTAAGCAGCAATGAAAGTGTGAGACTGTGACTTACAAAGTTGTGTATGACATTCGTAAGGGTCCACACCACCGGCACACTAAAGAAAGGAATGCTCAAGAGCACAATGTGAAGTATTCCAACCCCGAGAGCGTAGGTCAGCCAGATCCCTCGACTGTTCATGACCCGAGTGTTCGGGTTCACCTCACTGTGTGCCACACCCACATTCATCCTGCTCTGGGAACAGAAAACAGAGATATTCACAAATCAGTGTACTCTTCTGTGCCACATAAGTATTGGACTTTTCTTCCCCGTCACCTATTGCAAGAAGTTCCCTCATAATAAAAAGTAATATTTCGGGAATGTCTGTCAAGCTAATAAATGGGGTGAAAATGTTTTAACCCAAAATAAATGTGTTAATTTGGTGGTCTTTATAAAGTTCTAAAAGGTTTAAAATGTCAGATAAATGTTTGAGGTAATATTCATTAATCCGATTTTGACACAATAAGCACTGTAACTGTTATTCAAGCTCCAAATACCACAATCCTGAAACATTTAAGGAGCTCTATAATAAACGTGATAATAGACACGTCCTGCAGGAAAAATAGAAATGTAATATTCACAATTTTCTATATGCCATACCTTTGTCTGAAGAAGCAAATTATTTTACCAAAAAGCAAGTGTAGCGCTATGCATTCCCTGCAAGTCCAAATGTGATAACAAAAAACACACACATTGCAATCTGCATGAACTTTACCCTCTGGCACACTTTCAGCTGCAGACTGGAGTACAGATAACGGGTCGACTTAAGTTCAATGATGACTTTCGTCCATATTCCTAATGAGGCCTGGTGCATGCAAACATCCAGCTGTCGATGTCATCATGTTACCAGCCGGATTACACTATGTTCTACTGTTAATAAATAACATTTAGTGACATTCACCTAGTATTACATGAAGGTATCTGCCTTATTTGGGATACTAGAGCTCATATCAGCCAGCTGAGATTCAAGTCGATACATGAATTAGTAGATATGTATGATCTCATAACATAACCGATGATTAGACAAATTACTTTAAAATAAGTATCGGCAACGACAGAAATTCAGACAAAAGAAAAGCCTCATTAGAGGATATATGTCTAAAGTTGCATAGAAATAATACTTTGGTACTAAACCACTGTCACTGATTTAGTCTATTCGCATTTTGTAGCAATAGCTGAACCATTAGCTGAGTGAACAAAGTGATTAAACTTCTTCTTGACTGTGAACTGAATGTTATCTTTGTTTTAATGGCTATCTTGCCCTGTCAGGTAGACATGTAAACACGAGACGTCCCCTGCCTTGGACTGCCTTCAGTCGTCTCCAGTACATAGCCCAGACCAAACCACTACTAATCTAAACCAAGTTGTTAAGCCTCATTACGTAAAGAAGAAGCATTAAGACACGTTATGTGGTTGAAAGTATAACATTGAACACTCACACAGCCAGTGTTGCAAACTTACAGGTAGTAGCGAGCAGTAGAGGTATTTATAGAAACAAGCTGCTATGGAGAGAAATGGTTTATCTCCTTGTTGATGTGTGCAGTTCACCAGCGCAGACGGCACGTCGTACACTGACCTGAGCGGAAGTAGTTGCGGTGTTGATGATTCGCGGGGGTAACTTCTCAGGCTGTGTCCCGCCCCCTAACTTTATACACCTATGCCCCAACCAGTTAAACGAACCAAATTGTTATATTAAGGTTTATATTGTATGTGTTGAAAATAAGGGTTAAAGCCTGGTTGTGTGTTTTTTTAAAGGCAATCTTACAAAAAGCCCATACTAAAGTCTGTACCTGTAAGCTTAAACTCAGGGTAGAGATGTCCCATTTTACTTAACCCGCCCTCGTGTCACTTCTAGCAAATGAGCGTGTAGTTAAGGGGGCGGGAATCAAGTCATTTCCGCCGTGTAGCTCGTGTCTGTTGTTTATGAAAGATTCAACAGCGGCTGCAGTCAGAATAACTCTTAAGTAAGTCTTTATGGAAACTGCATTGCCTTGCTATTTAATATGTTACATTAAGGTTCTAATTGTGTCAAGTCGCCACGTAAGTTGGCAAGAGATAAGGTTGTTATCTTTAAGCTAACGAGTCTACTCAAGTAAGTCGCGAGCCGTTAAAGGTGGGGTAGGTAAGTTTGAGAAACCGGCTCGAGATACACTTTTTGTTATATTCCATGGAATGCTCTTAACATCCCGATAGCAATGAATATCTTAAGTGCTTTGACAAAAAATCCATAAAAAAATGTCATCTGTGGAAGCCGTAGTACTGTAAAAACTACGACCAATCATTTTAGCCGGCCCGGCTAAAATAACTGGATGGCCTACCTGTCTGTCAGCCTTCCATCTGTGCACAAATTTATCTCATGCCCTCATTGGTCATGTGCGCGTTCGTGTGTGTTGGAGGAGGGGCTCTGTAAGGAAGTGGTAGATTTTTTCCGGTTGTGTATTTTCAAATTCTAGCACACTCCAAAATGACCTACCCCACCTTTAAGTTAGCTTAGGTTAACCTAAGTAAATGTAACCTAATGTTACTTTAAATGCAATTCAATTATTTTAATTACATTTCTCTTTATTGTTACATTTCTTCCGACCAAATTGTGTCATGGCCGAAAGAAGATATTTATTTATTTTATTTAATCGTTTATTTGGCAGGGACAATGCACAGTAATGAACACTTAAAACATTAAAATGTGTCAAGCGTAACAGTGCCAGATTTAGCTTTGAGCATTAAACATTTAAGAAAATTACATTTTACAAACATGGTAAAAACAAAATACATGATATGCAAAAAGTGCAAAAGAGCAAGAGCAGCATACACAAATGCTTGAAGTCAGTTCAACTTGATTGAACTGACATTGGCACTGACTGCCACTATCAGGTAACGTTATTTCAGGTGACATTCTGCTGTCATGACGTTAATACAACATTAACAGTACTAATTGCAATTGGAAATGGGTAATCAATAATCTGTAACGCAATACATTTTCACTTCAATACAATACAAGTAACTTGATTGTCTTGTGTCAGTGGCCTGTCGTTTCAGAGGTCTTAGTAACTCAAGGCACTCATTTGTTTTAAAAAAAAAAAAAGAATATAATTGATATGATTTTAAACAAATAACCATTAGATATCAAGACTATGTTAGAATATATCAATATCAAGCTTGCTAATAAATACAAATGGACAATGAGGCACATTTTGTTTGTCTCACATAATTCAAGATTAAAAGGCTTTATTGTATTATGCACAACAGCTACAGCAAAGTTATTTGAAGATCTTAAGTCTCAGGCTCCTCAAACAGTGCAACATACAATATATGTAAGACATACACATAAAAAGACATAACATTGTGCAAGAAAGCAGTGCAAGTTTTTGAGTCTGTTTTCTATCATTGTCATTTTTGTAATTGTTGTCAACATCACAGTCTTGCAATAATGCCAATGCCTGTATTTTAATGTTAGTTAATTATTTTAACTCTATGGTATCATTTCTACTTCGAAATACTAGCCAGCAGAGGTGTTTTGTAGTGTGTGTGTGTGGAGCCACACATCTCATGCAAATCCTGAACATGTTTGAAGGTTTCTCTCCAACACCCCAATGTCTAGCTGATGTTGCGACCATGGTTGCGACTCAATTGCACGCTGAAGAACCACACTGAAACAGGACTTTTCTTCAACAGGTTCCTAAAATCATGAAGCAGCTACCTCCAGACACTGTGCGGCTGCTGTCCAGCTCACAGGTCATCACCTCTGTACTGAATGTTGTGAAAGAATTGATGGAAAATTCCCTGGATGCTGGAGCTACAAGCCTTGACATTAAACTGGTACAGTAGCAATTCATTTAGAAAATATGATTGAAGAGTGAATTGGCGTTTTATTGCCTATTTTTTAAAGATTAATTTGAGAATAGGGTTTTTTTCCTGCAGGTAAACATGTTCTTTAAGTCTTCAGAACTCACAACACTGATTTTGATTTCCCTTCCATTTGCTAAGGCAGATTACATTTTATTATTGGATTTCACATTGCAGGAGAACTACGGATTGGACCGGATAGAAGTGCGTGATAACGGCCATGGAATCAAAGCTGAAGACACTCCTGTGATGGCTCTGACACATTTTACTTCAAAGATCTTTTGCCACGAAGACCTGGAGCGACTGGAGACATACGGCTTCAGAGGAGAGGCACTGGGCTCCATCTGTGCTGTGGCCGAGGTGACAACTATTCACCAACATGTCTGTATTATATTACAGTCAGATCAGAATAGGCAAATGGGACCGTGTTATTAGAATCGGAAATTGTTTATTTGTCTCACAGCACATTTACATAGTTACAGCCAAGGGGACAATGCATATAAAAGTCCAAATAAAATGAGACTAGCATATTAAAAAAGAGGCAAGCTCATAAAATTAATATAAATCAAATAAGTACACACCCATGGTAAAAAATATAAACAAAAAGCAGTAAGTTAACGTATAAAAGAAGTAAAGTAGCAGCCATGAGTGACATTTAAAGGGGCCCTTGTATGCTCATTCTCAGGTTCATATTTGTATTTTGTGTCTCGACAAAATACTGCCTGTCTTTTTACCCTCTGTCTGAAACCAGAGCCCGGTCTCTGATTGGTTAGCTGGCTGGCTCTGTGCTACAGGAAAGGGAAAACCCCCAAAAGCCTAATAGAGCCTTTTTAACATATTGTAAGAATGTGTTATTTTACAACAGTTTTGTTACAGCTTGAAGTAATGAAGTAGCAGCCAAGAATAATATATATTGAACATAAGCAAAGATTATTGCACAACAGTGTTGTCATAGTGGTGCGTGCTTGCATGCGTGCGTGCATGTGTGATACATATTGCTCTAAAATGTGTACAAGTTTTACATATACATACAATAATTGAACACAATTCTCACTTTTGTGTCAATTATAATATTATAAATTTAAGGTGGTTGTTAAGCATATCAGTTTTATTAGGAATTAAATATACATCCTGGTTTATTACAGCATATAAAGTGTGATGGTTGGCAACCTGATGTTTTATTGTACTCTTCTCCTTTCAGGTGGCTGTCATCACAAAGACAGAGGAGGAGGACATCAGCACACAGTACACGCTGAACTTCACAGGACAGATTGTTTCTCAGAAGCCGTCTCACTTGGGTCAAGGCAAGACACAAATAATTCAATCCGTCTTTAGTGAGTAGCCAAAATCAGAGACAGCTTTATACAATAGTAGTAGAGTGGGTCACTGAAGTTGGAGTCACTCTGGGTTTGAATCTTTCTGGATCTACTATTCATTTCAATTTTTCTTCAATATGGATTCTTAATTCAGAAATTATTATGGATGGAGTACATAGGGCTGCTAATTTCAGTATCTACTCTATTCTGCTGTGAGGAGTGGCAAATTATCACATGATAACAGAGTCAAATAAGTATAAGATTCAATTGTTATATCAACTACATTCATTGCAATCAGTCTTTGTTATTTAAAGAAACCAATGCAGCTTGACACAGCTTTGACTTGCTGTGAATGATACGTTTTTGTAAGTTAAAGCATACACTATAGTTGGGGCTTTACCTTGCTGTGGGATATTGATTTTCTTTTGGGTGGTTAAATAGGATTTGCTGCTGGCTTCTCCTTATATCTACTGTCGGTAAAACACTGACCTCATACTTCCTCACTTTAAAACATCCAAACTATCCATCAAGGGATAACTTAAAATGATTGACGATAGAGGTAATATTATTACAGAAAAACAAACACCTTGAACACTAACCAGTTAGTCCAGTGTTTCCCCTACATTTACAGCTTTGGGGAGGCAATGTGGTGCTATATATAAAAAAAACAAAAAAAAAACACCTTGAATTTCAGGGGGGGTGCGGGGCTCCGTTGGCAGGGCGCAGCACCCCGCCAAGACAATGGTAGGGGAAACACTGTAGTCTATTTGAGTCATTTAGCCGTGATGCTTAAAAACCCTCTTATCTTACAATCTGTTGCACACCTCTGCTCTTTGTGTTTTGCAGGAACAACAGTGAGTGTCCTGAAGCTTTTCAAAAATCTTCCAGTGAGACGACAGTACTATTCCACGACCAAGAAGTGCAAGGAAGAACTGAAGAAGGTGCAGGACCTGCTGCTGGCCTACGCCATTATAAAACCTGAATTAAGGCTCACACTCATTCACAATAAGGTCAGTAGCTCCTCCTAAATTTGCAGATATAAATAGGTAATGTTTTTTCAACAAATTTGAGTTGTGAGTAGGCTAAATTTAATGCCAAATGTAAATGGCAGCTTTCGTTTAGCACAATGCATTATATATACAATTAACAATGGTTACTGGTGACATTTTACATTTAGGCAAAGTTAAAATTACTTGTAATACATTTTATTTTTCATTTGTCAAAGTGATGTGCCTTTACAAAAATGAGTATAAAACACTGAGGATTTGAAAGGTGAACTTTAAAGGTTTGTAGTTCGGTACATCAGGGATAAAGGCAGTTTTGGTCAGCTTGGTTTTATGTAGGTAACAAAATAGTTTTTACTGTGGAAAAAACGTACATATAAGTTACAATAAAGATTTAATTTTGAATAAAAAAACATATCTATTTGTCCTAGT